TGGGTTTTTCAAGAAAGTGTCTCTTGAACTATTTGCTTGGGCTGGCTTCAAGCCACCATCCTTCTGATTTCTGCCTCCTAAGAAGCTAGGATTACAGGCATGAGCCACTGGCACCTGGCTTCTTTTAATTTCTGCAAAAACAAAAGACTGAATGCACATAACTGCTCTTTGCAACAGACAGGTATTGGTCACCAACCACAGGCCAGATAATGGGCTTTCTTCAGAAACAGCATTCTGCAAGTCAGTGGCTCTGGTAGCTTGAGTTTCCTTGGTAAGCATTCTCTTAACTGTTTGCAAGAAGAGATGCAGGTGTACGTGAGCTGTATCTCCTCACTGCCCTGCAGGGCGGAGTCTGCTGGGAAAGCCAAAACAGGTTACTTTGTAGGATGTCGTTGGTGCATGGATAAAGGGATATTGCAGGATGTTGGAGGCTCAGGAGAGCCCCTTTCACAGCTCATGGAGGGGTCAGGAAAGCTCTGTGCCACGGAAGAGGGGAACACTCTGACAAACACGTGGTTAGGACTCATGATGTGAGGGGATAAGAATTAAAAACTTGTCCAGTTTTCATTTCCCAAGAGTCAAGGATTAACCATTCAGAGCCATATTTTCAGTGCCAACTCTTAGCTAACATTTGTGGTAACGTTGACTTATGGACCCTGATATATGAATTGACCACTACCATTGTACTTTACTAGCTGCCTGGTCTGCGGTCTCTATTAAAACTTTCTCGTTGTGCTTTCAGTGTTGAAGGAAAACAGGCTTGAGTTCCAGATGGTTCGGTTACTGGAATCAGGGATCATTTTTAAAACTTTAACCCCTTACTCTGCAAAGTGTGGTCCTTGGCCTGGCTTCATAGCACTGTGGATTTGCGAGATTTGTAGAATCTCAGCCTCCTTCCACCAGGCCTAAAGACTCAGTAGAGCTATTTTTACAAGATCCCCCAGGTGATTTATGGTCACGTTCAAATTTGTGGAGCACAACTGCTTGAGACCTTTGGCTGGAAAGAAAAAGCCCTAGGTTGAAGAATTACACTTGGCATCTGAAAGACTTGCCCTATAGCTAGGACAAGAGTTCTTGTTCCGTGGAGCCCATGCTCTGACCCTGCTGGGTTTTTGTCCCTCTCCAGCAACCACATTCTCCAAATCACTGTTTCCTTTGGTAGTTTATTTTCTCAAGTAAGATTTATCTTAACTCTTTGCATTAGAGATGCTAAATTCCAGGCACTATGGCAATAAAACCAAAATTGTGCTTCTTTCTCAGATCCACAGTCCATCTTTCTGCCTTGCCAGGCTAATAAACCACCAGCGTCCATTTTGTCCTAAGCATCCCCAGAGCAGCCACCTACAAACACAACCATAAGGACTCCAGCCAGATTTTCAGCTGCAGGAGTGGGCCTGTGGCAAAGGCATCCATACGAGACACTCTTTTCTAGAACAAGGGGGACCGAATCTCAACTATTGACTGGCAGCTGCAGAATCCATCCAGCGGCTGATGGCTGTCAGGTCTATTTTAGGTCCAGTTCTCCCTGTGTCTGGATGTTCCCTCCTCTACTCAACTCTAGCAGCTCCAAAGACAGCTCACCTGCAGCGGGAAGATGAGCCCCAGGAAAACCAGGGCCTCTTTTTAATTAAAACTTCCAGCTTGAAAATCTGTTTGTACCTGCCTGTATTCAAAGATCTCTTTAAGCTTTTGAGCATTTGGAAAAGTACATGGATCATTCTGTTGTTTAAGAATTTGTTAGAGTTTGAGAGTATAGCTCAATGATAGAGCACTTGCCTACCATGCATGAGGTCCTAAGTTCAATCCCCAGGACTGAAAAAAAAGACACATTTGAGTAAGTGATAGTCACTTAAAATACAGTTCAACCAGGGAAATGAGCAATGTTGGACGTTGTCCTTTTGAATGCTTGGGGCAAAGATCATTGTTGCATTGATACATGTTGCATGCAGAATCCATTTTCTACTCCCAGTGATGCAGTTTGGCAAGGGGAAGTCGTGTTGCTACCGGTTTCTGACAAAAGGCCAGCAGTGGATTTGGCTGCAGACCCACTACTACATCACCTACCACCAGTGGAACTCCAAGCCCGAGTTCATCGTGTGCACGCACTCGGTCGTCAGGTACCATGTGGGTGGCAGGACTGGACTCTGTCCTCGCAACTCCTGGGAGAGGTGCACAAGGACCCTGGTGACTGGGGTGAATCAGCAGCCACCTCAGGAACTCCCTGTATCTGAGGGTCTATCCAGGCTGTCATTTGCAGTAAGCAGGACAATTCCCAGAACTCCCAGGTACACATCTAGTTCTTCTCCCAAGGCTAAGACTTCTTTGGAGTTTTCAGTCAGGCCCCTTTGCAAGCTTCATGAACTCTTTTAGGCTGCCAAGATATTACTTAGTAAGTTCCTGCTTTACTGACCTACTTACATATTTTTCTGTCCTCTATCCATCCCCAGCCTTCCCTTGTCACTGCTTTGAGAAGAAAATTAAAACGTTTCCTCTAAATAACTCAAGCACATACTCCTTTTATTTTTAATGCTTTAAAACTCCCTGCTGGTAACTGAGGCAGTGTTGAGAGAACAGATGAGTTGCTGTGTGTAGGAGAGGGTCCCCAGTAGGTCCATGGAGCCCTCAGTCCAGGGTGGGAGAGCAGAGCTTCGAAGGAAGGCATCATGTCTCACACATCATACACCCATCCTGGGTAGGGTTCCGACTCTCAGAGGTGAAGGAGAAAAGTCTTTCTCTCCCTCACCCCACTGCAGAAATGTTAAGAACATAAATCATTTCAAAGCTAATTTTTAAAGAGCCTTTGAGAAAAATAAAGGCTAGAAGAAGTATGTCTCAAACAGCCAGCACTCCATATCGACTAGGTTCTATGTCCATGGATTTAACTAACCACAGATTGAAAATATTTTTTTAAAAATTACCTCAGTACTGAACATATACAGACTTTTTTCTTCTTACTATTCCCTAAGCAATACAGAATATCAGCTATGTACATAGCACATATGTTTTATTAGATATAAGTCATCTAGAGATACTTTAAAGTATACAGGAGGATGTGTGTAGGTGATACGTAAATACCATGCTGTTTTATTTAAGGGACTTGAGCATCTGTGCATTTTAGGGGAGACTTTTTTTTTTGTCTTGTCTTTTTTGGTGCTGGGATCGAACCCAGGGCCTCATGCCCACAGGTAGTCCTGGAACCAGTCCCCCTTGAACATGGAGGAATGACTACACATAGACATAACAGACAAATGAAGACATATAGACACTACACACACCCTACACATACAGACAGTCCATGCGCTGCTTACCCTTCTTTAGAGGGAGATGAGCAAAGTAAAATACTAGCTTTTCTCAGTTGGTAATCCTGACCCTGCTCCATCGTATTTTACATCCATGCTTGGAGGCTGGCTGTTCAACCTCCAGCCTGCCCCCAGGGACTTCAGCAGCCAGTGGTTTGTGACTTCATGGCCAACCCCCCACCATTCAACCTGAGCTTTGCTGGAGGGCCCCTCAGTCCCCTGGGAAGATTGGACATCATCCACACCTAAATCTCTGACTCCTCTCTGCCTCTCCATCCTCCACCTCCCAAAGCATAAAAGGAAACTTAGAGAGTAGGCAGTGAACTGAGAGAATAAAATAAGGTCAACAGCAGTATCTCCTCCCAGACCCTTTCCCATCCTCCACACAGGAGGCCCAGGCCAGGGTCATTTTGGCATCACAACATGAAATCTGTCTACCCACAGTATTGACACAGTGAGTCCATACATTTATCAGCGGTCTGGGTCTGCTTAGTTCTAGGTTTGTTTGAAAGAAAACTCTAGAAATGTAATTACTAAAGTTTTGTGTCATACTTCTGTATACATAGTCCAGACTGAACAGGTTTTAAGAACAGTCATTATAGACCATTATGTTTAAAAACTTTGGTGGGAGGAGAATAATAAATTTGAGTGTAGTATAGAATCACAACAGTGGAAATTAAGCAGGGAATGAAACTCATTCCTTCAAACAGGTAACAGTCAGGGCTCCTTTGTGCTACCAATTCTGGGAGTGAGTGTGCTCAAGTGAACCCCAGTATGCCTTTGCACGTTGTCATCCTTCAGTGTCCCACCTCCATTGTGGTCTCTTGCTTTCCTGAGCAGTTACGCAGATGTCCGAGTAGAAAGGAGGCAGGAGCTGGCTTTGGAAGACCCGCCCTCTGAGACCATGCACCCCTCAGCTCTGAAGGTAAGTTCATCTCTGCATGATTGGTAAAAGCAAAGATCCACTGGATAGAGCCTTCCATGAGTCCTTCTAACAAAAACAGTAACAATAAGAACAGAGCTGCTTATCTTTACGAGTACTTGCTATATTCCTGCAGTGTTCAAAGTAGTTTTCATGTATTTTCTTATTTACCCCTGATGGCAGTTCTGTGAGGTGGGTGTGGTCTGTCCTGATTCTTCAAATGAGACACAAACACATGAGCCAAGGGCCCACACCCGCAAAGCTGGGTTAGAAGCAGCCTCTGGACCTGTGGCATGGTTTGGCAACTTTCCAGCCCTTCCAAGAGTGGCTCTGATAAGTCCAGTTTGCATTTCTCCCACTGATAAAAAGCTGGGGAGTTATTCCATCATCCTGTTGGGGCATGGAATAAGTTAAAGGCCCCCGTCTTTCCTTTGGCATAAATGCTGTGATGCTATCTCCAAGTCAGGCTGCCCCCTGCACCCCCCGCCACATGCTTCTATGTCATTCTGGGGTTTTTGTTTGTTTTTCTTTGTGGTGCTAGGGATGAAACCTGGGGCCTCATGAATGCAAAGCATGCACTAAACTCCATCCCTAGCCCCTCCAGTTATTTCTGTTTCTGTGTCTTGGTGTCTTAGCTGATAGCCATGTTGGTCCAGCTCTTTGCAGGGAGCTCTACTCTAAAAAAGACATTTCTCTCCACTAAGCCCTTTGCCTCCATCCTTCCCCCCACCCTGAGTTCTCTGGTCACATCTGGCCAGGCTTCTTCTCTGACAGTGCGAGGGAACCATGAAGATTGTCTGCAAGTAGACCAGAGCCCTGTTCCTCAAAGGTCATTCTTAAAGAAGCCTCATATGTTGGAAGAGAAACAGAGAAACCAAAAAAGAGAGGGAGTGTTTTGTTAGATCAAAGCTTTGAAAATCCACCACTATTTTGTCTCCTGTTAAGAAAGAGAAAATGCTACCAATCGATCCATGAAATAAGTATTCCTTTTCACAAATTGAAATTTCAGATGTTAAAATGTGGGTAGGAAAGGGCCTCTTAGAAGTGATGAAGTTCAAATCTTAGAGACCTAGAATCCAGAGGTTTTGGCCAGAGGCTGTCTGTGATTGAATAAAAGCATCTCATCCCTTGAGGATCAAGTTTGGAGGAAGGAGAAACCACCTTTAAGATCAGTGTGTCTTTGGAGGCTCGCCTGCTGACACGTTACATGGAGGTGCATTGTATGGTGACTCATCACCGACACGCTGAAGTGACTGAGCTGCCGCTGTTTATAGGAGTGTTTATACCCAGCTCTGTCACATAATACATCATGTGCCATGCCAGAGAACACAATTAAGATGTTAATAGGCAGGTGTTAGAGTCATCAGACATCAGAGCCGAACAAGTATGACATGTAGGCATTATTCAGTCAGAAATTCCCCACTGAGGTGCTGGTCCTTTGGGAATCCTAAGACCAACAGAGTATCTTCTTTTGAAAATGCACATGTGTATCCACACACAAATACAGTCTTGGCCACTGGGTTAAGAAACCCTTGTTAAAGTAGAAGCTCTAGGACAATGCTTCTCAACCTATCTATGGTGATGGACCACTTTGGTTTTTTTTTTTTTTTTTAATTTCAAATCTGTCACTGATTGACATGTATATGAAATGCAAATTCTCATGTGTAAATGTGACAGGCAATGACATCCAATGGCTGTGAATGTTTCTCAGTGTTCACTGTCACTTCCTGGGCTTATTTCTCTGCTGACCAGGAAGCACAATTCATAAACAGTCGTGGCCGAAGGGCCTGATCTAAGGAGACCATCACCGAGCAGTGAGCAGCAGAGTGTCACAACTGGCCTTTCCCACAGCACAACCAGGAATGTCCTGCCATTCTGTCTTGAACTAAGGTGTGCAAGTCATGTACCAACACACACACACAGTGTCCACCCTCATGGTGTCACATATGAGCTTCCTGCCTGAGTCTGTGGGCAGGAATCATAATCCATGGGTGCTACCAATTTCCATCTTCTAAGACTGAGTAGGAACAAGGCTCAGGAGAGTAATCACTATGTTTGGTTTTTAGCTTCAACATGATCATAACCCCTGTTTTCATACACCTAGGATACTTAATCCATAGAGGATGGGAAGGTGGTTCTCAGCAGTGGACCACCACAGTTGACTTCTCATCATACTATGTTTGAGGCAGACATCCTGAGAGCCAGGGTCAGTTAACAGCCAGGGGTAAAAAGATAGGAGGTCACAGGCCATTTGCCCTGCTCCACTCCAGATCACTGAGGCTGCAGAGAACAAGCAGGTCATGTGAGACAGTGTGAGACGTGCCCTGGAAAGTTCCAAAAGCTTTTGTCTCATTGATTATACTAACAGTCTAGTGCTGACAGCAACCTTATTTCTCAAACCTGGTTCTTCTCCTCTTCCCAAAAAACTAAAATTCTGGGTGACAAGGTAAGAACAATTTTATGGAAAAAAAATTAAAATTGCAAAGTCACTTTGGAAAATCTGAAAAATCAAGATAAAAGATATAAGCCTCTCAGTGATGCTTAGATTATATATATGACTATTTACTCCACCAGAGTGAGTTTAGACTTACCCCCCAGCTATGGAATTTGTCTCAACAGCTCCCCAATTTTTCCACATAGTTAGAACTAAAGCCAGAGTTGATTCACAGCATCTTGATACTAAAATGTGTGTGTGTGTGTTTCAGGACAAGGGCTCAAGCATGGAACCTCAGCAGCACTTTGATGCACTTGACGTGGGCACCTCTGGCCTTAACACCAGTCCTTCTCCATCAGCATCTTCAAGGAGTTCCCACAAATCCTCACACACAGCCATGTCAGAACCCACCTGTGAGTACTATTCTGTGGATGGTAGATGGGGACCCTATCAGAGCAAGGGCACAGAGTCCCTAAAGACTCCTTGCCTGAGTTGAACCAGGACAGTCTATGTCCAGACAGTAGATGTTGTCCTTAGGTTTATACTCCTTGTTTGCCTTTCCACTAACCTGCCTTCCCACTCTCTGCCAACACTCTGGTATTTCCACTGCAGTGCCAAGCAAAGGCATAAAGCAGGTGACACACAGGTCAGCTAGCTTAGCTACTGGTATCTCTGGGAAGGCGTTCGATCAGGCAGGTGGTTGGACCCAGTGATGGAAATGACGCGGTGGTTGGACCAAGTTGGTGGATTATTTGTGGTGTCTTCTTCCTGCTCTCAGGTTGGGCTTTTGTGGCTCAGCTAAACCATTTCCATTCATGGTAGAGTTCCTTTATCAGAGGTTCCCAACCAAGCCACAGGCTCATGCGCCCCATTGTCATTGTTCCCCTCATTTTGCCAAAAATGCTGGTAAGTATTTGTGAGTTGGGAAGGTAATTCCTTCTTTGCTTGCTTACAGCCACTCCAACCAAGCTGATGGCAGAGACCAGCACCACAGCTTTGCCAAGATCAGCCACCCTACCCCAAGAGTTACCCGTTCCTGGGCTCAGCCAGGCAGCCACAATGCCGGTATGTGTTGACCCCATCTTCTCCGCAGGGGTTCACTGCTGTGTGATGTGGGCAGCAAAGCCCCAGGCAACATGCTGTATCTTCCCAGGGAATCAGTTTTACTTAGAGATTGGGAGTAAGGGAGGTGGCAGGTGGGGGTGTGATGTTAAGACATTTATTTGGCTACTAATTTTAGATATTTTATAACAAAATGAACATGGATGTATAGCTGTATAACACAAAATTCTAGTGAATTTTAAAGATAAAACTCAAAGCTTCATACTTGAGGTCATATCCTTAGAGCCTGTGGAGGAGGGACCTCCTTCCTGTTTTGAGTCCTGTTTCAAGCTGATGACAACGTTTGAGAAGCCTGATGTCAACAAAAATGTATCTCTGTATACATCACATGGTGGCTCTGAAGTATGTCAGTCCTCTCCAGAACACCAGTGAATGAATAGCCTCTTAGAAAACCTACCAGCTGGTGCAAAATCACTGGCGTACAAGATTCTGGCCATTTGCTACCAAGCAACAAACCATACCTAACTTCATGGTATGAAGCAGCAATTGTCTAACACATCCCCAAAGTCTGGGTCAGGAATTCAGAAGGGGCACAGTGGGGACAGCTCTTGGCTCCATGGTACCAGAAGTCTCACTGGCCTAGCCTGGAGAAACCACATTCCAGACAGTGCTTGCACTTGAATGTTGACATCCGGCTATCATGGCAGAAGGGCTGGGCTTGGCATCGTTGATGCGCACAGGCTCTCTGTGGCTTGGCAGCTGGATTGCAAGAGGAAGCATCTGGAAAGCCAGGCAGAGGCTGCATCGCTGCCAATGACCTTACCTTTGAAGTTACATAGGTCTCCCCTGCTATAGGTCCTGATCAAAGCAGTCACGCACTCACCCAGAGAAGGGGATATAGACCTCCACTTTTGGGTGGGGAGAGTGTTCTGGAGTTTTAGGGGCAACATCCATAATACCTCAGGCCCATTCCCCGTGACATTTTGGATATAAGGTCATTGTGCCACCTCCTGCTTGTCGTCTCCATCAGGGATATGCACACCCTGCCAGAGAAGCTTAGGTGACATGTTGTATTCTCAAATAGGGCATGACGAAGGAAGACCACTTTCTTCCTCTCCAGCCCCATCTGGAGGCACTTGTAAGCTGTAACTGCCTTTCTTCCAGATCCTGTCCTGACCAGGATGACCCATTTTGTCAAGGACAGTAGCCCACGGTGCTTCCATTTCCCCTAGATATGAAGGGGACACAGCTAGGAAGACCCAAGCCAATGCTTGGTGGGCCCTGTGCCTAGGATCTCTCATTTGAAGTGAGGATTCCCACTGTCATTTCCTCCCATTGCTATCCTGGATGATACTTTCTATTCAGGCTACTTTTTATAGTCCCTAGGAACTCAGGGCAGTTTGGGAATAACTTTAGGGGAATCCTCTCACTTTTTCTTTTTTTTAATTTTTTTCCAGTACTGGGGATTGAACTCAGGGCCTTGTGCTCACTAGTCAAGTGTTCTGCCACTTAAGTTTTCACAGTCCTTTTGCTTATAGTTTATTTTTCAGATTGGGTTGCATGCTAACATTACTCAGGCCAGCATTGAACTACAAATCTCCTACCTCCACCTCCAAATAGCTGGGACTACATGTATGTGCCACCACACCTGGCACTTACCTTTTAAAAACTCCCAACAGCCCATGAAACCGGAAGTTTCATTTCTCCCGCTATCCACCACCCCACCCACCCAAGCAATTAGGAACAAGGAGGTGACTCACCTCTTTTCCCAGGAGTCTCTAAAGATCCCAGGTGACTGGCAGAATTGCCCCGATCTTCACTGCCTGAAGATCTGCCCAGCATGTCTGCCCATCTGTATTTGTGCTGAGAGAAGAAGTGAGGGCTATGCACAAGCCCACCCTGGTTAAAGTGCACCCCCACTGAAACTTCTTGGTGACATGATGAGAATTAATCAGTTGGGGAAAAGAGCAGCCCAGCCTACCAAGGATAAAGTCTTGAAGAAGTTTTCACAGTCTAGAAACCGGAAGTGACCAGAAGTGGAGCAGAGCTGTCCAGCTCAGTCAGGTAGCAGCAGCCTTGCTGAACACACCATGGTGGCAGTAATCATGGACCCTGAATGGTGGAGGACCACCTAGGCCTTTCGCCATCCCAGCCAGGTGTTGGCCCTAACTACATGCCCTATGCAGAAAGCAATGCAGCCAGGAAATAGATGCCTAATCCTTCTAGAAGTCTTCACTTTCAGCTGTTCGCCTTGGCAGCTACAGAGGGCTTCCTTTAAGCTGGAGAACAAAACCAAGAGATAGCAGCCTTGTTCCCCTGGGACCGCCCTGAAGCAATGTTTGTTAACTAAGCCGCTTTATTTTCCCAGACTCCACTGCCTTCCCCATCCACCTGTGACCTCACGCAGCAGCTCCTGCCTCAGACCATCTTGCAGAGCCCACCTGCTCCCATGGCACAGGTGAATCTGGGTCTTGGGACAGAGCAGCACTTGCTCCAGACAGAATGTGTGAGATCCTCTGTGTGGGTACCAGTGGAAGCACTAATATGGGGAACTGTCCTCCAAGGTGCACGTGGGGTGTGTGGAGTTCTGTGCTCGCCTTTACACATGTCCTCATCTGCCACCCTTGTCTTCTTCACATACATTCTCCACGCTCTTTCCCCCAGTGTCTGTTCTTCTTCCATATAGCTATCTTTCTGCCTCTTTTCTGCATTCTTTTCCTTTTTATAGCTCCAAATTGGCCATGATATCATAGGAAAGGTCTTTATTAGGTCAGATGTCATAGGGGGACTCTGAAAGAACCTAAAAGCTGTGAGTCCAGTACTATAAATATCAGGTTTATTTTTTTTTAAAGGATTATGGCTTTGCTGAGTAATTCCTTCCTTGGTTCAACCACATTCTGTGAGTTCCTATTTGGGTCAGTCTGTGAGTGTATTAGGAATACAGAGATTATTGTAACAATCCTTGCTCTAAGTACTCAGAGTTAAAAAGAGAAGCAGGCATCTAAACAGGGCAGCCGTCCATGGCAGGGCAGGGGTTTTATACAGCCAGCAAGAAAGTAGATGGCTAGGATATGGGCATGGCTCAAGTGGTAGAGCACCTGCCTTGCAAGCACAAAGCCCTGAGTTCAAATCCCTGAACTGCTGAAAGGAAGGACGGGGGGCGGGGTGGAAGGAAAGAAGACGAAGGGAGGGGAGGGGAGGGGAGGGGAGGGGAGGGGAGGGGAGGGGAGGAAGAAGAAAGAAAGAAGGAAGGAAATAGAATCGTTGGTAAGTCCCTAGGAAGTGACACAAGAATTGGCCCTGGAAGAATGACTAGGAGATTGCTAGATGGAGAGGTAGAGAAAGCAGAGAAAAGGGGATGTGCTTTAGTGGGGAGTTATGAAAATGTCTAACATACCGGGTGCCTGATGACAAGTTGACCAGCACAGGGGAGCGGTTGCACTGATTGATTGACTGGCATATCTTCTCCTGAGTCCAGAGCTCTAACTTCATCTCCTTTATGGGGCATTTAGCTTTGTCCCAGTCCCTGGATCCAAGCCTGATCTGGGTCCCAGGCACCAGTTCACTGGCACTTAAGCTTGTCAAAGTGTGGCCTTCTCTGATTTAGTGCTAATCTTTTATGACCAATGAACACTATTTCAGAACATGTGTCCTCATAGAAGTGGCCTTAAATGCCTTCCTGGAGTAAGAAAGGCAGGTGCTGGCATATGCTTCTTGCTAGTGTCAGACTTGAGCAGTGATAGGAAAGCTGTTCACTCAGAGTCTGCTAATTAAAATAGTCCATCTTTATCCCCTTTGGGAAAAAATCAGAATGTTTTTCCTCTTCATATTTCCAAGGCGCATTTGAAATTAGTAACATTTTCAATCCAAAGGCAAGAAAAATGAGACTTTCCTTAACCTCTGGGCCTTGCACAGTTAAGAATATCTATCTGTGTTTATAGCATATAATGGTGTCAGGCCCTTACAGAATTCTAGCTTTTCCTTTATTGAATTTCACTTTACTTAGTTGTGGTTGCTCTTGGTCTGTTTGATGTACTATACTTAATAATAACTGTGTTCTGTAAGACATTTTTGCATAATACAGTTGTTCCTAAGTATCCACTGCAGATTGGTTCCAGGACCTCCCACATACACCAAAATCCTTGTGTAAAATGGCATAGTGTTTGTGTAGTACCTTCACACATCCTCCCATACTTTAAATCATCTCTGAGTGATTTATAAGACTTAATACAATGTACATGATATACAAATAGTTGTTGTGTGTATTCTTTACAGAATGACAATGAAGGAAAACTCCTGTACATGTTTGGTACAAATGAAGTTTTTTCTGAGTGTTTTCTATCTGAGGTTGGTTGATCTGCATACAGAGACCCAACTCCACTGACTTTTCAAGTCAGCTGGTCTTTCTCATATCCATCTCAAGTCACAGGATGAGATTTTTTCAATTTTCCCTCATTCTTCTCACCAGTGTTATCTCTGTAGCATCTGTCAGGGAAAGGGGAAAAAACAAAATCCAAATTCTAGGAAGTAGTTGTCTGGGTAACTGGTGGTTTTCCAAAAAGTCTCTAAGTTCGAGTAGATCTGTTTATCAAAAGGCTACAGTCAGGGCTGAGGATGAAGCTCAGTGATAGAGTGCTTGCCTAGCATGTGCGAGGCCCTGGGTTCCATCCCCAACACTGCAAAAGAAGGAAGGGAGGAAGGAGGGAGGGAGGGAGAAAAGGAAAGAAAGAAAAAAGAAAAGACTGGGTGCCTAACTAACACTTGTTATGCAGCTGGCTTCTGCTGACTGCCCCCTGGCCACTCCCAGTCAGGGCTAACTAAGCAACCAAGAGCCTGCTCTGCTAGGGGCAGAGCTAAAGACCTGAATGTTCCTGGCTTTGTGGAACCCACCATAGAAGCTTTTGTGTCTTTTTTAAATTAAATACTTGATACAGATTGTTTGCTTGCTCAATAGAATATTCTTTTAAAATCCCAGTTGAGTGCTTTGGTTAGCTATATTGTGGGGGAGATTTCTTTAAAACAGGCTGGCTGGCATAGCACAGGCAGAACCTTCCATTTCAATGTCAAAGCCATTCTTACTGAGGTGGGACTGGGACTGGGAGTGGGGCTTGCTGGAAAACCTCTCAGCCTTGCCCAATTCCTGAGACTCAGGTTCAGTCTGGCCCTACCCCATCCAGCTGTGTGATGTGGGTTTATGTGAAGAGGTAGAGATGTTCTGCTTCTACTTGCCTGGGGCAATGGCAGGCACTTGTGGTTCTCTGAAAATAACAACACAATTGTCATTCTCATTGGCTCTTTTGATTATTGTTTTGCTATGCAAAGACTATCATCAATCATTGCATCCTCTAGTGTTTCCTATCTGTATTCTCAACTCTCCTCTCCTAGTCACCTCACTTCTGTGAATGAGAGAACAGAGGAGAAGAGAAAAAAAAAAGAGATTCTGGGGCATTTGCAAAAGACAGTGGGAAAGAAGCAGACTGGAGAGATTTCAGCATAGAGATTGAGAGAATGGAAGGGAAGTCATAAAAAAGAAGGAAAGAAGAAAAGAATGGAGGGAGGGAGGGAAGCAGAGAGGAAAGGAAATAAGGAAGGAAATGGAGAGGGAGAGAAGGAAGGAAGGAAAGAGGGAAGAAAGACAAGAGGGAGAAAAAAGAGAGCGGGAGAGAGAGGGAGAGAGAGAGAGAGAGAGAGAGAGAGAGAGAGAGAGAGAGAAAAGGAAAGAAAAACTCAAGTCCAGTAAACTCATTTGCCTTAAGAAATGGAAGTCACAACCCCAGAGAGCCCAGAGCAAGGAGGGAGGCAGCCCCTACTTGCATCTTGTGATCTGCAAGAAGAGTACCCTATGTAGAGGTAGACAGGTGACAGGGGACAGAGATCACCTGCACGATTTTCCTTAAAGCCAACCTGGGTCTCAAGAAGCAATTAAGGGGTCCAAGGCAAGGGAGACTCAGTATTCTGTGTAAAGCAGATATAAATGGGCACTAACAGGTCCCCTCTACCAGTGTTGCCTTTGGACAAGTGTCAGATGACTGTTCTTCTCCCTAGTTCTTTTTTGCACTTGAGTAACCCCAAGTGAGCCTAGAGCGAAGGAGAGGGGTCCCAGGCCCATGAGAGCACCAGGATCAGGATCAGATTTAGGATGACAGGGCCCAGAAGTGTCTGTGAAAGTATTACATCTAGACTGTCACGCCATGGATGAGAAAAAAGGAGTCTCAGATGCCTTGCTTTTGACCTTCATCCCTAAAACCAGTTGTCTGCCTGACTAAATTTGGAATATATTTGTGAACGTGGCTTATATCATGCCAGAGCATATGGGCCTTCCAGCGTGCAGTGAGTAAATCAGACCTGCAGATTCAGGTGCGCCTGCTGTCACCACCAACCTGAGAAAGGCCAGATGGCGACCCCAGGACACCCCTGCTCGTTGCCCAGAGCTCAGCAGTGGGCTCCAGGGGGTGCTGGGGAGCATGGCTAAGGGGCAGGAGAGGGAGTACGCAGGACTGATCAGAATGACTACCATACTTGTCTGCCAGGCTGAAGTAACTCTTTGATCTGGTTATGTTTTTGACTCCACCTGGAAGTTTTCAGCACAGTTCAGCATGTTCCAAACCATCAAAGACCAGCTGGAGCAGCGGACGCGGATTTTGCAGGCCAACATCCGGTGGCAGCAGGAAGAGCTCCACAAGATCCAGGAGCAGCTCTGCCTGGTCCAGGACTCCAACGTCCAGGTGATGTCCCTGCCCAGACCATCCTCCATCCTCCCCACCTTGTGGGCTGGTCCTGGGCCTCCACCTTAGGGCAGGCAGGGCTGCCCCCACACTCCTTCCACAGTGCCTCACTCAATCCTGTGTGCTTAGGAAGCATATGGACTCTTCCACAGGCAAAGTACAAGGAGCAAATTCACCTCCCTGTCCCCATCTCTAGACCAAGCATGAAATTCCCAGGACATCCTCTTCCCTTCTGCCTCACTCTGGTTGGCACATTCCATTTGCCGCCTCACCAGTATATCCATCCTTGGGTCTGGTTTTTGATTGCCTTATCCATATGCCACCTTGGTCCTGAATTACAACTCCCAGCATGTGTATAGCTTTGCTTTCATAGCACCCAGCCCCAGCCTAGGTAGAGGAAGATGGATGCGGCCCTGCTCTGCTTCCTCTGATACAGGATGAGCTCATAAGTTGAGGGAGAAATGGGAAATGTGCCATCTGTTATTGCAGTCTTGGTGGGCAGCAGAGGGGGCAGAGCCACCTGTGTGCCATCCCACTGGGGATGAGCCAGTGGGGGATACTGCATTCTAACAGCAGCGGCTCTCACTACAACCCCAGATGCCCTTCTTGGAATGTCTTTGAGAAATTTTTCTTGGAGGAAAAACTTTATATACTGTATCTCACTCAAGGATAGATTGCACAGGTTATTTTTTACCAGGTTTTACTTATTCTGGTCCAGGAAATGCATCATTTGGACTCTGCCTTTAATTGCAAATGTAATTCTAGGTAACCTTGGTGTCTGCCTGGGAGCACTAAGCATTTGCAGGTCCCTTTGAGACAGGATGCATGAGAAATGCTATAGGAAACTAGCCAGAGCATTGTCCCTGCCACTTCCCTGTCCCTAGCCTCCCAGCTCCTCAGGCTCAGTAGCACCTAAGACAGGCAGGCAGTGTGGGCACCATGGGAGCCCCTACACGACAGGATTATTGCAGGATCGTGTGGTTTTGTTGGTTGTCCAGAGACACCTTTCTCAGGCTGTCCTGCTTCCCATGGTATCCAGAAGCTCTGCTGGGCAGTTTCAGAGACCAAGAGTGCCATTTGCTACTCTTCCCCTTCCTACCTCTGAGGAGCCCTGTCACCATAAAGGCAGGCTGCTCCTACTTCAGAGCAGCCCTGTCCAGCTGAGGCAGGCCATCACCCTGCACCTACACCCCAGGCATCTATGTCTGTTGTGCTAGCATCACTCAGATAGCCTGGGCCACACCCAAACTCCTGGTGCTCCAGCACTGCCACAGGGTCACCCCTGCATGGACGAGGGAAGAGACTACAATGGTACATGAAAAGAAATGGAGACGGAGGCTTCGAACTGTCAACATGGTTAGGAGCCACTTTTTACTTATTTCCCAACAGTAATATTTTCCCTGCTGATCCCACAGCCTGGTTGGTAGTGGAGAACTTGCCCAACTTCAATGACTTTAATGGGATTTTTACACTAACAGAAAGGGGGGAGAAAGAGCCAGAAACTGTTAACAGCAAGGTAGGCATCTGAACATCCTCCAGACAGCCTGGGCTTTTCTGCTTCCTGCCTTCGTAATATTAGAGCAAAGTTGTCACTTTGACTCCCTGTAACAAACATTTATAACTTTTCCAGAGTTTTTGTTAACCCCAAAAGTACATATGCCCCCCCTTAAAAAAAATTACAGACACCAAGAACACCTGACTCCCATGAGCAATGCTGTTCTAGTGCATTCCTTCCCTGAGTTCGTTTCTTTTCCCTTACCTTTACAGTGGAATTTTCCAAAGAACGTGGAAATCCACAGATAGTCAAACCCGGTATTTCCTCCAGCAACTCTGCCTTCTTGTTCTCTTGCAAGATTCAGGGAAATACATTCTAAAATGTCTAACCAGTATTTGTTTTTCAGAAAAACAAAACCAAAAAAATGTGTGGTTCAAGTGTAAAGCAAAAAAGCAAGTGAAAATTATCCTAGCTTCCCTCACATGCCAAAGAGTGAGAGAAGGGGATAAACAAACATGACAGAACATTGAAAGTGTCATTGTACTGTTTCTCTATTTTCTGTTTTTCTGAAATCTCTTGTAATGACAAGAATTTGTAAAAGTAAGCCAGCCAGAATAATGAAAAATCACATGTGCATGCCAGGCTGATTTGTTCTTGAAAATTAGGAGCTTTTTTTCCTCTCATAATTTTTCCTACTTGAATTAGGGAACTATTTTTTTTTCTCCATGTTTCCTGTAAATTTGAACTTAGGTCCCTTTTAGGATGTCATCTTTGTAAGCCACAAAATTCTACTTTATTGTTGATAAAGCAGAGGCACCAATGTATGCCACAACAAGCCATTACCACCCAGGGTTTTCATCTCAACTTGGTGAACTTCTATTTTACTTCATTGGTTCAAAACTTTCAGTGAGACTGTGTGCTTATGGTGCTTGCTGAGTATGAATTTTTCTTTTAATTGAATTCTGACGGAGTGGTCCGCTAAGGCTATTGATATTTGTACCTAGAAGGGGCCATGAAGGACATGGGCCAGCCTGTATGTGCAATGGCCCATTCCAGTCAGTGAAAAGCTGCCTCTTGCTCTTTTTGAGAGTGTGTGCGCCCTCTGCTGGCTATTCAAATGAATGCCTAAAAGGACACCTGTAGCCATGGCAAATAACATGTTCCTTGATTGAATCTTTCTGACATCCATCAATACATTTGTCCTCCCATGCAACCTTCCACCCACCCATCTCATCCAACCATCAGCCCATCCACCCGTGTCCATCCATCTGTCCATCCCTCCATCCATCCACCCACTCACCCTCCAGTCAGCCATCCAGCAGATACTCACTGTGTACCAGCCACTTGGTTGAGCACTGTGTGGACACAGAGATATATAGAACAGGGTTTCCACCCTCAGAGACCATATGTGGATGGGACAGGGCAGCACACCAAGCAGTTATGTAACACTAGCAAAAACAGTTTGGAACAAAAAGTTGCATTCCTTTATTTATTCATTCAGATATTTCCCATGTATTCATTCATAAATTTTTATGTGCCCAAAGAGTCAAAGGGGCAAAAGCTTCCTTTCTTTCATTTAAAATAAATTACTATCTAATATCTATTCAACATTTACTGTGTTTCAGGTACTTTATATACATTACCTCATTCAATCCTTTGTGATGTGTACTGTTAATGTCCTTATTTTATGAATGAGGAAACTAATGGTTTGAAAAATTATAAAACTTGCCCAAAATTGTACTGTTAATAGATAGAGGTGTGGTATTTTGGAACTGGTTTGTTTTTTAAGCTAGACTATATATATAGCCTGTCATAAATAAAGCTTCTACTTACTTGAGCTCTAATCTGAAGGTCTCCTACAAATAATATGGTGATTGGATTTAATGAGATTTTTGCTGAAGTGGTGAGATCCTGGTTACAAGCCATGCACTAGGAGGCAGCTAGGAATGCCTAAGACACCAGTTCTCAAGCACATGGTATTGAATCTGAAATGATGGATGCCAGAAAGTTCTTCTTAACCTCTAAAGTGACAGAGCCCTCATTTCACAACTGCAGGCCTCTGGATTGGAAGTGGGGTGTTGAAAGGACACTGGGGAGGTCAAAAGAGCACTAGATCAGAACTTGATCCCAGCACAGCCACTTGCTGACCTCAGCCACTGTTGGGTGTTTCAGACCATCTGTAAATGATATGCTGAGCACATGGGCCTTTCTGTGGTCCTCTCAGCATCTGCAGGACACAGTTCCACACCTGCCTGTCCAAGCCTGACTGCTGTGCCACTTCAAAAATGGTGGCATGTCCATCTCTGGGTATGAAGTTGGACTGAACTGAGCACAGGAATTGGGGCTAAAACACTGCATACTAGGAGTAAGAGACCCCCTCCAAAGAACGCAAGGCTAAAGACCTAGAATGGAGCAGGGCATGCATGTCAAGAATCGTGACACAGATAATTTCAGTCAATGTGTTTAATAACCAAGAGGGTTTTTCATTAAAGCAGGATATGGTGGCACATGCCTGTAATCCTAGCACTTTGAGACACTGAGATATCAAATATTCAAGGCCAGCCTGGCTTGTCACAATAAATAAATAAATAAATAAATAAGAGAGGTTTTAGTTAAAAGAAGTAGTTATAGGTCTTATTTAAATTATTACTAAGATTATTAAAGCTTTTTTTTCTTAGACATTTAAAATCATCTTACAGTTCCTGTTTTCTCTTATAAGTCTAATTTGATCTAAAATGAACAATGCTTTCACTTGTTTTTATTTACGTTCTAGTTTATAAGATTAATAAACTGTGAATAATTAATATTAACTACCAAAGTCACTAATTTACAAATTTCATGTATCTGAATCTTTCAGACATCTCACATTTCTAACCAAGAAAACTAAAACCTAAGAACCTAAATATTCCTGAGTTCTTAAACAACTGTTGAAATCAAAGACAATTGGCCTTCAGTGCCCAGGAGAATGGGTTCTAGGACCCCCAGAGATACCCAGTCCATGGATGCTTGGTCTCTTATAAAATGGCATGGCATTTGCACAGTATTGCACATGTCCTCCTGTAACTTTTAAACCATCTCTGTAACTTTTAAACATCTCTGTAACTTTTAAACCATCACTACATTACACCTAATACAGTGTAGGTGCTATGATGCTGCATTGTTCAGGAAATAACAACACAGAAAACATCTGCACATGTTCAGAGACATACAAGTTTCCTTTTTTGGGGGGGGCAGTATTGGGATTTGAACTCAGGGCTTACTAGACAGGTGAACTACCACTTGAACCATACCACCAGCCCGTTTTTGCTTTAGTCATTTTTTTAACAGGGTCTCACTTTTATGCCCAGACCGGCCTGGACTGTGATCCTCCTATTTATGCTTCCGGCACAGCTGGTATGACAGACATGCACCAACTCACTTTTTTTTTCAATTAATTGATTGATTGACTGATTGAGATGGGGGTCTCACTATTTGCCCTGGCTGGCCCCAAACCATGAATCTCCTGATCTTTACCTCTCATGTAGCTAGGATTACAGTTGTGAGCCACAGTGCCTGACTTTTTCCCAAAGGTTTTTGATCCAGAGTTGGTTGAATCTGCAGATACAGAACCCATGGATATGAGGGCTGATTGTACACTGCACAAACTATTTGAACTAAATCAGGATTCTCATGCATATTAAGCACTCTTTACAAACTTTATCAAATTCTCTTAATCTTTCAGATGAAAATGACCAGGCTAATAACATATCATAGCCCAGTAAGTTTCTGAGACATGTTAGATAACAAAATACATAGAGATGACCATGAAGATCATAAAACTTAATCACAATTTTAACACACATAGACTTGATGTTACATCTTATTTTCCAGCTGAGCCCCTGACTTACTAGGGGCAGATCCCAGTTTTCTCTATGTTGAGAGTCCTGGGTGGAAGGTTCCCAGCCGCAACATGGGTGTAGACCTCAGTCACTGGGCAGATTCAAGGCAGAGCATGGAAACCAGTCTACGCTGAATGTAATGTGACTAGCCTTCATTTCACTGTTCATTCCATTCATAAGATATCTACAACTTGAACTATAAAAATACATCAAATTACATACAAAGCACCGAGATCTAAGCCTCTTCACACTGTCAGACCATAATCACTTGACTATGATCTTCATGAAGGCAGACAGTGTCTCTCCAACCAACCACTAGGTCCAGTGCCTTCTTCCGTGGAGGGAGCATCATAGGCACTTGCTATCTACTGCTGAGTCAGCAAACTATTTACAGTCAGATCAGGGAGAGCAAGAAATCTGCCTTCCAGCTGGGTATGGTGGTCATACCTATAACCCCAGCTACTTGGGAGGCAGAGACAGGAGGACTGGAGTTATAGTTAAGGACCCTATTTGAAACACAAACTAAAAGCAAAAGGCCTGGGGGTGTAGATTAACCCACCTAGCAAGCATAAGACCCTCAGTTCAATCCCCAGTACCACCAAAAAAAAAGGAAGAAAGAAAGAATATCTACCCTTCTACTGTGACCAAGACAAAGCAAAGAAGTACATCGCAGCCCTAGCCTCACAAGTGCATCTTTTCTGCTCCCAGATGTTTCTGCAGCAGCCAGCTGTACCTCTGAGCTTCAGTAGTGCCCAGCGGCCTGAGGCTCCACAGCAGTTACAGCAAAGGCCGGGTGCAACGTCGCAGCCCCACCTCGTGGCCAGCCCTCAGCTTCCAGGGCAGATGGCCTCCACCCAGGTCACAAACCAGCACCTGCTCAGAGAATCAAGTGTGATATCCTCCCAGGTAGGGGGCCCTCTCCACATTTTGTCCTTGCCCTAGGGCCGAAGCACTCTTGCAACCAGGATAAACTTGACCCCTACAACCGATGGGCTCTGTGCTCTGCTGTTCTCTAGACTGGGGGTAGATTATGGTGCTATGTTCTTCTGTATTTCAGTCACTTTGAGGACCCAAGTTGTGTACATTTCCTGCTGTATGTTATGCTCTTGCCCTAAAGATGTCATTCAGTTTTCAGTTTTGGTACTGAGTTAGAACTGGAGGCAGATGAGGACATTCCAGAAACTCAATACTGATGGACATGTGTCTCCAAATGCCTGCCCTCAGTCTCCATTGCCTACTCTTGATTTCAGCCATTGTCCATGTGAGCAGTCACCTCTGTTCATTGTCCTCTACCCTAGGACTACCTTGCCCACCCAGGTCACCCAGGTTTCCTGCCAAACCCTTCCCTGCAGCCATGGTTCCTCACTGCAAACCACCCATCACCTCCCAATCTGACTGGCTCACAGGGATAGGTGGCATTTGCTTCCAGGAGATTGTGGGCTGAAAAGCAGGTGCCACCTCTCCTCATGCCTTCCCTTCCATATGGCTCCTGGGTCCCTGTGAGCACATGCTGAGCTCCTGTCCACAGGGAAGCATACAAACTAGAGGTGCCCTTGTCCTTGGACCCTCCCAGTCCAGTAGAGAATCTGGGAACTTAGCCAGATACGGTTCAGTACAATAGGGGTGAGTACAGCTCTCACAATACACAGGGCATGGGTTCCAGGAAAAACCCAAGCATCCTTGGGGCCCTTATGTTAAATGGCCTCATCTTTGCATACAACATAGCCACATCTTCCTTCAAATATCTTAACTCATCTCTAGGCTACTTCTAATCCCTAATACAATGTAAATACTTTGTCAGTGATTGTTACATTATTTAGGGAATAATGCCAAGAAAAAAAATCTACACACAATCAGTAGAGACAAAGTTTTTCAGAATATCAGTGGCTGACTGAATTCACAGTTACAGAGGGCTGACTCTACCCATGTAAGGGTTTTACTTAAAAATGCAGCCTTTTGATTCCATAAGTCATCAGAAAAATGAAATGGATAAGAATAGCCAAGAAACTTTTGGAAAAAACCTGAGGAAAGATTTACATCACCTGATACACATGAATCTGTAAAAGCTCTAAAAATGAAACCATTGTAGTGTCACCATGTGAACAGGCAGTCAATGGCACAAATAGAAAAGGAAACACCCCCTCCCTCATTAATTTATTATTTTACTCAGTAAATATTTATTAAGTAGTCACTGTGTGGCAGGCATGGAATTCCTAGCACTGTCTATAACTCAACAGAGGGGACAGTCACAAAATCAGAATAATTGGTAGATTACCAATTATTACCTACAGAGTTGGTAGGTCCTAAGTTCGAGGAAAGGCTCAGGTAGGCAGAGGAGGTCTTTGGGAGGCTTCCTGGAGAGGTGACCTAACTTGAGTCTTGTATTGAATGATGCTCCAGGGTCCAAAGCCAATGAGAAGCTCCCAGCTGATGCAGGGAGGCAGCCATTCGGTGAGCAGCTTAACACCCCAGTTCAGCAGCACCTCGGCTGTCCTTCCTCCAGGTCTGAGCCTGACCACATCTGCTCCCACCTCCCAGGATGCCAGCCAGTGTCAGTCCAGCCCTGACTTCAGCCATGATCGGCAGCTCAGGTACGAGACCGACTCTGTTTATAGGATGCACACCCTTCCTTTCATCACTCCTTTCTACCTTAGATGGAGGCCGAGCTCAGGCAGATTTTAAAGACTTCACAGCTCAACTCAGCTAAGGAAGCAGCAGGAAAGAGATGGGGGTCCCGATGGCCAGGGGAGGTGACCTGTTTGTGTTCACATCTGCTAAAGACAGCAGGGAGATGGGGATGAGGGTCACCTGTAAAAGGACCCAGCAGGCTGCACAGCACTGCCCTTTGCATTGGGACTAGCTGATCATAAAGTGCTGTTTCTCTTTCTCTGCTTCCAGGCTACTGCTGAGCCAACCCATCCAGCCCATGATGCCTGGGTCCTGTGATGCCAGGCAGCCCTCGGAGGTCAGCAGGACAGGACGGCAAGTCAAGTAGGTGGCTGAGGGGAGGCAAGGAGCAGAGAGCTGCACTATATGGTCCCAGCCTGGCCTGGCCTTCACCTTTCCCCCTTAAGATGATGCTTTAAGGTTTCATGGGTCTGGGCTGGCAGGCTCACTGTGGGTGTCCTGCTAAGACAAGATCAAGTGTGCCCACCCGCAGCCTTCATGGACTTCTGCCTAGCTCTTCTTCACCATTTCCCATTTTAAATACATAAAATTTAGTATCCACTCTCCATGCTTCAAACAGGACCTGAATAAAAGAACTGATACCCCCACCCTATCATCTTTGGGCTTCTTTACAGGTCTGAAAGCCTTCCCCACCCCATCCCCCTATTACATCCCTGGCAAATGTAGCCTTTTCCCCTTCCTGAGGGCCCTATCCAGCCCCAGCTGCCTGTTCACAGACACACTTTTTGAGCTTACCTGCTCCATGCTTCTGGCACTACACCCTATAACCGTGAGACCCTGCATATGTGGGGGCTCCCTCCCCTCTCCAGACACTGGCTCTCACTTCTTATCTGTTATTATAACTGAATACCACAGACTGAGAAATTTATAAAGAATGAAGGTTTATATAGCTCACGGTTCTAGAGGACAGGAAGTTCAAGAGCATGGTGCTGGCATCGGCTTGGTGTCGATGAGAGCCTTGTGCTGCATCCTAACAAAGCAGAGGGCATCATGTGGTGAGACAGACCTGCATGCCAGCTCAGGTGTTTCTTCTTCTTTTTTTATAAAGCCACTAATGCTATCGTGACTTCGTTCAGTCTTAATTACTTCCAGAGGGCCTACCTCCAAATACCATTTACACAGGGATTTGGGGATTAAGATTTCAACAGGTAAACTTTTGGGGAGCACTTTCAGACAATATTTCCCTAGTCTCGTCTGCAGGACCAGAAGTGGGTATACTAAGCCGCTTCATTACTAGGGAACGGGGTAACTGGAAAGTCAAGGATGAATCATTTAAATGCTAGTGGAAAAGAGTTTCTAGCCTCCTTTCAAAGGAGGCAAAAACAGAATATCACACAGATGCTTGTGTTATGTAAATACTGGTTGAATTGGGGTTCAGAGTTCACCAGGATAGTGCTAGCTAATAAGGCCTGGCATGCTGTCACGTAAAAGCCTCCAAACATCCTGTGAAAAGCCCTTCCCATGCTGACAGTCACTGAGCAATTCTGAGGCTCAGGACCTGAACCTACATTATTTCTTTTTATTCCTATACAAACTCTGATGTAGGTATGCCTTCCTTTATTTATTTTTTTTAATCAATGAATAGACTAAGTAATAAAGAGATTAGGTCACATTCTCAAAGGCCAACCACCTCTAGGGCCCAGACCCCCACGACTTCCTGATCTTCCAACATGACTTTGTTGACTTGTCTGGGGTCTCCCCACAGCCCTGGGACAACTTTCTCAGTAACCTCTGCCCCTGAGACTCTCTGGCCCCTCCCTTCAGTCACTGAGGGCAAGGAGAGGCATACATCGTGCAAGCAGCCATCATTAAAGTTCACTGATTATGCTCTCAATTAGGCAGGGGTGTTTGGGTTTGAATTTTAGATTTTGCCTGTTCTTCCTAAATGATCCAAATAAGGAAAGAAAGATTCTTATTACATCACTTTCCACAGATGCTTAAAATGCACTGAACTAGGCAAAAACAGGAAAGTTTTCTTTCAGGAACCAAAACTGCCATTTTTGGTTAGACCAATAATTTCTACTCTCCCCATCACCACAACCATCTCTTCCAGACATGACCTAACAGTTCCATTCTCCAGGGAGTGTCAGGATCTTCCTCCCCTTTGTCCCTCCGACACACAGAGGCCTTTGCAGGGGAAATGTGGAGTCCCAAAGCCTGTTACAGATGACCTATGCAGGGAAATGACATCTCTAAAACTCAACGCAAAGTAGAATTCTCTGTAATATCTTCAAACATCCATTCCTGATCCATAATCCAGAGCTTTCATTAATGGCCCTTCTCTTCTCCTGGTTAGTGGACCATTATCATCAACATCTCTTTCTTTATTATGGCGAAATATCTATAGTATCTTCCATTTTAACTGATCTTAAGTATGTAATTCAGTGGCATTGAGTATATCCACACTGTTGTACAACCATCACCACCATCCATCTCCAGAACTTTTTCATCGTCCCACACTGAAACTTTGTCCTCATTAAACAATAACTCTCCATTGCCCCTCCCACCACCCCTGGCACCCACCATTCCACTTTTTGTCTTTCTGTGACTCTTCATGGTACCTCTTACAGCACTGTCCTTTGATGACTCGCTTATTTCACCTAGTATAGTGGTTTCAAGTTTCCTTCATGTTATAGCTTGTGTCAAAATTTCTTCCCTTTTTAAGACTGAATAAAATCCTATTGTGTGGCTATATCAGTTTTTATCCATTCTATCAATGGACACTTGGCTTGTTTCCACCTTTTGACTATTGTGAATAATATTTCTATCATGTACAAATGTCTATTTAAGTGCCTCCATTCACTTCTTTTGGGTATATGCTCAGAAGTGGAAATGCTAGATCATATGGTAATTCTATGTTTAATTTTTTGAGGAATCACCATACTGTTTTCCACTGTGGCTGTACCATTTTACATTCCCACCAACACTGCAAAAGTTGCAGTGCCCCAACATCCTTACCAACAAGTGCTATTTTCTGTACCTACTGCCATCACAATGGGTGTGAAGTAGCAGCCATTTTGGTTTTGATTTGCTTTTCATGTGCTTTTTGGCCATTTGTATCTTTTCTTCAGAGAAATGTCTACTCAAGCCTTTGCCTCATTGCTTTGTACAGGTTGTTTGGTTGTTACTGGTATGGTGGTGGTGATGGAGCTGTAGGGAGTCTTTATATATTATGAGTATCAATCCCTTATCAGACACATGATTTGCAAAGATTTTCTTCCATTCTGTGGACAGTGCCCTTGATGTACAAAATTTTTGATGAAGTCCAGCTAACCTCCTTTTTCTTTTGTTGCCAGTGATTTTGGTGTCATATCAATATTTCTTTCTTAGAGGACCTATTTTCTCCTTCCCACATGAAACTGAACAGGTATGCACACAGCCAAGCCGTGTTTCCAAGTCCAGACTCACACCCCGCCAGCAGCAGCGCCTCAACCCCTGTCCTGCTGATGGGGCAGGCAGTGCTTCACCCCAGCTTCCCCACCTCCCAGCCGTCACCCTTGCAGCCGGCACAGGCCCAGCAGCAGCCACCACACTACCTGCAGGTGGGCACCAGGGCCCAAGGGGAGCCAAAAGGGTTTAGGGAGCAGAAGCCAACCTCAGGCATTCTATCCATTGAAAGGCCTTTTTACTCCCTGCTCTGTCCCTGGTAGAGAGAAAAAGCCCAGAAAGATTCATATTTGATTGATTTTAATGCTTAGAGCTCTTAAAGTCTATGTATGTGAGGTTTGAGAAATGAAGGATCAGCTATTATGCCTCCACTGGTTATATGCTAAGAAGATCCATTTTTTAAAAGTAATTTTTATAATTTTACATTGTGATATTTCCATATTTTTAGAGCAAAAGTCAAATATTAATGACTAAGTTTGTAGGACTCTCCATGCATTCATATATACAAATGTAAAATTCAATCACATTTAGTTTAAGATCCATCAAACTGCCTTAATAAATATGACAATGTGTGAAATTGGGGCTTGCCAGAAACATCTGCAGCACATTTACATGTGGTCACTATTCAGAAGGCAAAAATTATTCCAGGCAAGTCAAACACACTGGAAGAAGGAAGGGTCAGAACCACTAGTCTGGGGGTCCAGATTGGGTAGCATGCCTGTGAGGCTCTTGAAGGGCTCGGGCTTCTCCTTACACACGTGCTCAGGGCGTCCCTTCTAGCCCAGCCTTCACCCTGCCCTGCTTAGTATCTTCATAGCCAGAGGACAGTGTGCAGTCCTCTGATACACCATAGGACTGCAGGACAGAGATGAAGAATCGTCCTTAAAAATCTGGAATGTAATTTAATTCCAAAGCTGCTAAACCCTCTGTGGTCTACTTTTCACATCTCTCTGACCCCACGCATAGTAGGTGTCGGCCTTGACTTTGGCTTTGCGGATCTTGTCAGTTCTCCGTTCACAGAGTGATCTGGGAGGGGAAATGAGGCAAGAAGGCAGATAGCAGGGGAGGTTTCCATATTTTTTCAGGAGCAGCACAGTAGCTCACAGACATTTGTTCCATGCAAGGCACAGGTAAAGCTGCAAAGAGCTCAGGCCTGCTGGCTTCCCTTAGGAACCCAGATATTCCTAGAAGATGGGTTAGCGCATGCACTGAGGCTCTGGGTTAGTGCAGAAAGGGAGGACTAGGGTGGGGAAGCCTTCATAAAGGAAGCCACTTGGGGAGGAGGAAGGCTCTGAGGAATCTACCTTCCAGATACATCCAGAGACTATCCACCCCATGTGTCGGGGAAGGAGTAGAGATGAAAAGACTGCATTTCAGTAGGACAGTCCAGCACAAGGAAAAGGACCAGTGTATTGACCAGCTTCAAACCCAGAGTGGGGAGACTGGGTTACTTGGACAGGGACATTTATTGGTAGGCAAGAGTGGAAAATGAGATTGAAGCTTCCAAAGACAGGCTTTGACCCATTGAGGCTTCTAAACTTCAAGTTAGGATGTTTCCACAGAGTCATCCCTGGGCCACTACCTGCATGGGGACAGACATCAGAAAGATGGTGTGCAAATATAAAAGAAACCAATCCCTGCAGCCTCAGCTAATTGGGCCAAAAGGAATCCCCAGCATTGTCAGAGAACTGGGTTTCAGAATTCCCCCCCATCTGGAAGAGCCTAATGTGGCTCTGACTCCATTTACGATCCCCAAGATGCTACATGAATCCCCCCCACCCCAGCCATCTGAAGAGGAGAGTCCCAGAGTCTGCAGCATCTCCTCTTCTTTCCCCTCCCCCCACCCCAAGGATATCCAAGTGACCTTAAAGCCAGAAGAGAGACTGACCAATCAGAACCCGTTCTGGAGCTCATTTTCTTTTCTCTCTTGGCACAGGCGCCCACCCCTCTGCACAGTGAGCAGCCGGACTCGCTACTTCTCCCCACCTACTCCCAGCAGCCAGGGACACTGGGCTACGCCGCGCCGCCCGCACAGCCGCAGCCACAGCCCCCGCGCGCACCCCGCAGGGTCAGCCGGCTGTCCGAGTCAGGCCTGCAGCAGCCACCCCGATAGAGGCCTGGCGCCGGAGTCGGACACAATTAGCTTTAACCAATGGACGAGGGGGTGGCCGGGAGGTGGGGAGACGGATTTGCAATAAGCCCTTGGCCTGTGTGCATCCTGCGTACATTTCAGAACTGGATGGTGGCCATCAGTGGAAAAAGAACGAATACTGGCCATGTTTCCCTGGGCGCGGAGGTTCTCGGGCACACTCTACAGCCATTCCGGACGGTAACCGGCGTGGCCTGTGTAGGTGTCGTTCCTCAGTTTACCTACAGAGATGGCGCCCCTCGCTGCATCCCCGAAAGTGCGCAGGTTATTTTACCTGTGCGCCCTACCTGGCCTTCACTCTTGATCGTCTTTTCCTTTGCATTCAAGGACTGGGTCAAAGATCTGTTGGAGAGAGAATAAAGAGATTATTTTTCAATGGTTGTTTTTGTTTTAATTTGCACAGCTGCACAAAGGAAATAACTTCTAGGCACTTTCAGTTTTAAAAATATAGTAAGGTCTCTTGGCTTCATTTGGAGACCACAGTAACAAAAACAGCCCACCAATCAGCGAAGCTGGTTGTTGACCAAGCTGTATAGATCCACACGCTTGGCCTAAACCTTCGCGGAATGAGGCTTTCACCCCATCACCCCACCGGTGGTGATTTTTCCCTCCCAAACATTAACACTGGACTATTTCCTGTTTACTTCGTTGATTGCAACTACAAAGGTGGACTGATGCAAAGCAGAATCTTGCAGCTGATGTTCCAGAATTCCGTAAAGAACTCTTAAGACTTTGATGGAAGAAGTTTCACAAGCAGCCTTGGGGGAAGGGGCAGACTGCAGTCTCCCAAGAAAGCCCACCACCTGCTGGCGCTGTGTGGGAGGACACACATATCTTTCTACATATCTCTCACGATAATTCCGAGGATTGGATTTTCCTTTTCAAAATGCACTTTGCTTTTTTTTTTTTTGTATGTTTTGTTATGTTGAGATGTTTCTAAAGAAAAGATTTTATGTAATTATAAGAGGAATTGTAGTGAATTGTACAGCTGTTGGAATAATGACCTATTTCTATATAAAATAAAATTGTACGGATTATGTGTAAATTATTTTGTATCAGAGACCACCAGTTCCTTTCCCAAATATAAAAGTTCCTTGTGTTTTTCTGTGAGTGGACATTTTGTAATAAATTAACAAATTTTTACAATTTCCTCTGTCCCTTGTTATACATCCATGCATACATCTTTTCTCCAGGAAAATATATATATTTTTAACATAAAGATATTTTGAGGATAATCAAAGATTTGTAAACTGTGTGTTGATCAGTTTTCCATTGCTATAATAAGCTGTAACAAAATATCTTAGATAATCAACTTAAAAGGAGGAAATGTTTATTTTAGCTCACAGTTTCAGAGGTTTCAGTCCACAGTCTCATGGCTCTGTGCTTTGGGCCTGGGGGGGCACAGTATATATGGCAGAAATGTCACCTCATGGCAGCCAGGAAGCAAAGAGACAGGAAGAGGCCAGTGTCTCAATATTCCCTGCAATGGCACATGACCAGTGACCTAACTTACTTCTTCTAGGCCCCACTTCCTAAAGATTCCACCACTTCCCAATACCACCATCATGGGCCAGTGACCTGGCCTTTAACACATGGGTCTTTGGGGGACATGTCTAAGAAATCATTCACCTCAGAGGAAATCAAGAGCCAAACCAGAGCACAGTGGAGGCAAGCAATACAATAAGTCATGTAAAAGCATTAAGTTTTTTGTTTTTGTTTTGATGGCACTAGGGTTTGAGCTCAGGGCCTCATGAGCGCTAGGCAGACACTCTACCACTTGAGCCACTCTGCCAGCTCCACCCCCACCCCCCATTTCTTGTAATGGGTTTTTCAAGATAGGGTCTTGTTAACTATTTGCCTGGGACTGGCTTTGAACCAAGATCCTTCTGATCTCTTCCTCCTAAGTAGCCAGGATTATAGGTGTGAGCCACCGGTGCCCAGCTACATTGAGTTTTTCAATGTGTACCAGCCTATCAAGATTCCTGATCTTTATATTAAAGTTTGTTTCAGAAAAACAGTGATCCTCTGTAGAAATAACAGGGAATTAAAACAGAAAAAAGTTTCTGGGAACATCTCAACCTTACAGACAGAGGTTATCTGTCGAGCTGACCAAGACTTTCTCTGGGAAATCATTCATTCATTGCCCATAGTTAAACTCAGCCAGGGGATTCTGTGGGCTCTTGCTGCCAACACTTAGTTGTCAGTGATGTGGACAGGGGAGGGGTGTCTTCGTGTGAGACATATATGCACATACTGTTTGGGGGGAAATATAACACCAACAGCATCTCTGAGGTTGCTTCCAGCTACAGACATCCACCCCCTCCTGAGACTCATAAGGGTGCCCTGGTGTACTATGCTTGAGAACCACCAAGACAATTCTCTTTTCCAAAAGTGCTGGTGAGAGAGCAAAGTTCCTTTTCTTGCTCCACCACATAGGTCTGCACTTCCACCCTCTTCTCTGCAAAATAAAGAACTTTTCTCAGTTCTGTGGTGAAGATCAGTTTTGGGTGCATAAGAAGATGCTATATAATGCTATTTTTGTCAGTATTGGGATTTGAACTCATGGCCTCACACTTGCTAGGCAAGCACTCTACCACTTGAGCCACTCCTCCAACCCTGAGGATGTTATACATCCAAAATTGCTCTAATCTTGAGAAAAAGGTAAGTCAAAATATTTTGCCTGCACTGGGTACATTTATTCTTTGAGGGAACCAGAAATGTACCCTGTTTTTAAAACAAAAAGTCTCGGTGAAAGTGAATTGCCTATTTTTTAATTTAATGTTTTGTAAATTCAAAGGTTTAGAGATCTGATTTTTCTATAAAAGAATATGTGTTTCTAACTGCATTCACATTGTGATTGGATTCTAGAATTTTCTAAGTATAGCACGGTTTTTAATGGACTCAGTGTATTTATTTTCCTAAGATTTTCTAGCTGGAAGCCACTAAAAAAGGGTGGAGTATAACATGCCCCTAATTTAATTTTGTTCTGCCTTAATCTTACACATGTTCAGAATTTGGATAAATTCGAAAAACTGTTATTGTGTAATATTTCTCTAAACCTACAAATATCATGGGAATTTTAATCTCTAAGCTTTTGATTCATTAAATTTTGCTCATGAAAAGGCTATTTTGCAACCCTGTCTTATTTCCAGAAAAAAAAAATGACCTTTCTATTTGGAGAACTATACAAAGTCTTGGCTCAAGTAGTATGACCAAAATGTGAACTTTAAAGCACACTAAAGCTTACTATATTGTGAACAAAGTTAACTCAAGTGTAGCATCTTCCATCTCTAATAACAACTAAAGTTTATAAAATTAATTTAAAAATGTTGTTTAAACATGTAATGTGAATTGGCTAACCAGTAAGCAGTTCTAAGCCATGACATTTCACCCTCTTGCCTAAATGTTCTGGTGAAACTTGAGTGTTTGGTACAAATTTGCTTTCTCTCTTCCCATTGGATAGGAGCAGACTGAAGATCTCTAAGCCAGCTGTTAATATCCTAGAGAAATATCTAATTTAGATCCTCCAGAGAAATGCTATTGGAAGTCTTTTGGACAGACTGGCATGAACTTCATACTATGGAAATAAATTGTTTTTTCTGGGAAAAAAAGTTCATTGGAAAGAAAAAAACTTTTAGGATTTTTGCCTAATCACTCAGGCATATCAACAATATTGACTCCTTTTTAAATTCCAGCTGTTTTTTATTGTTATTTCATGTTTTACTTTCAGCACAAAGTCATGACTTTGTGGTTTTTTATAATCTCAGCTTTTCTAATTAACCACTGTTACTGTTTTTTGTCAAATCAGCACAACCTGGCAGTGGGAACTTGCTTCTTTGACTCCTTTATCTTTTTCCAGCAGTGCCCAACAGAAACCAGATTCCAGATTTTATTCTAGATCAGGGTCATAGTCCATCTTAATTCTTTTTCTGCCCCAAAATATGGAATCAACTACCTTCCAAGTAAGGAGTCCTGATTCTTTTTAGCTTTTTGAAGAAAAAAAAAAAAGCAGTACAGATTGAAATTTGGGTGCCTAGAGTAAGAATGGGAACTGGTATTCAGTAAAGGTGCTGCTTCTATCCCTGTTATTGGCTCAACAGCATCACAACAGTGTGACAGAGCTGAGAACATGTGGTGCATAGGGATGGTTCAGTCACTGGCAGATCACCTGGATGATGGTGCACTGTTCAGTCTAGGTGTGTGTAGGCTAAACCATCTAGGTTTGTGTAAGCACTGTATGGTGTTTGCGCAACGTTGAAATTGTGTAATGATGCACCTCTCAGAATATAGCCTGTTATTAAGTGGATTACAACTGAATTCCTCTTAGAGTCATGGGATCACCTTGATTTTACCCATATAATAATCATATTTGCATGATTTTCTACCTTTCTAATAAGATTTGTTAGCCACTGAGTCTTTCTCCTACATTGCCATTCCACATGAAGTCACTTGGAACTATTTGTTTTCATTTCAAATACCTTGAGGGTCAGTGGGAGGGGGAGGGAGGAAGAAAAGGATATTGAGTGGGGGAAGAGGATAGAAGTGGCATATGTGAACATAGCGTAATGAATCCCACTAATTGCTGCTTGAAAAAGGAGGGAAGAAGGAGAGGGGGAATGGGGATATAATGGAGGGGGAATCCCCTCTTATTATTACTGTATGATAAATCCAAAAATATTTTAAATCAAAAACCTTTTGTATGATTCCTGTCTGCCCCACAATTTCAGCTGTATCACAGCCACAGTCTCCTGACTAACCTCCCACTCAACCCACAAACCCGCATAGTACTACAGGACATATCTCCTTTAGTCCCTTCTTTATCACCAGGCCTCTTTGGTTTTTTTGTTTGTTTTGTTTTTTCCATATTATGAGGAACAAACCTAGTTCCTACACATGCTGGGTTAAAAACTCTACTACTGAGCCGCATACTCACCCTTTTTCCTTTTAAAAAAAAGAATTTGGCAGTACTGTGGTTTGAACTCAGGACCTCACTTACACTTGTTAAGCAGGTGCTCTACCAATTGAGCCACCTCCCAGCTCTTTTTGCCTTTGTTATTTTTGAGATAGGATCTCCTGGGTTTTGCCTGGCCCTTGGTTCTCCTACCTATGACTCCTGAGTGGCTGGGATCATAGTTGTACACCACCACAGCCAGCTTTTTTTTGTTGAAATGGGGTCTCGCTTACTTTTTTGCCTGGGGTTAGCCTCAAACCATAATCTTCCCACCACCTTCTAAGTACCTGAGAATACAGATATGTACTAACATACGCAGCTCGTTTCAAAACATTTTTAAGTGG